GGGGAGCAGCTGAGGACTCTAGATTCATGGGAAGAGAGAGACTAAGAGATAGTGGCCAGGAGGCAGACTTGCAGAATGTGCCCTTTGGTGGTGTAAATTATTATATATGCCTGAGTGTTTTTTTTTTATTTTAAATAAAGCTAAAGTGAATAGAGAGAAATACTGTTAACTGATGGTACATGGAGGGGATTGTAATCATTGTGATGAAACAAGTTGTATGATTTGTTGAATGTAAAACTGATGGATGATCTGCCCTGTAAACGTTCACTCAATTCACAATAAAAACTTAATGAAAAAAAAAAACAAAGTTGTTGTTGTTGTTGTAAACTGTTGAGTCCGTTCCCACTCACAGTGACCCTGTATAGGAATTCTGAGAAGCGGCTGGTAGGTTTGCAGTTCGCAGTCCAGTGTCCGTAATAGCACCACACCAAGATTCCCAATTAACCATTGTTGTTGTTAAGTGTAATTGAGTTGGTTCCGACTCATAGCGACCCTGTATAGGCTTTCTGAGGAGTGGCTGGTGAGTTTGAACCACTGACCTTGCAATTGAAACCAATCATGCAGTCTAGTGCGTATCCTACAGTGCCACACCAGTACACTCAATAAATGGAGCCCTGGGATGGCTCTGTAAGTTACAGCACTGGTAACCACAAAGTTAGTGGTTCAAACTGACTCCTGGGTAATTACAATGGGTAATTAAGGGGTCCTAGTGGTATAGTGGGTTATGTATTCAGATGCTAACAGCAACATCAGTAAATTGAATCCACCAGCTGCTCTATGAGAGAAAGAAGGGGCTTTCTGCTCCCATAAAGATTTACAGCTTCAGAAACCCTGCATAGGGTCCTCTGAGTCAGAACTGACTCAATGGTTGTGGGAATGTGTAATTACTGACAATGGGAATGAAAAAGTTGGAAACAAAGAGAAAGGAAAATCTCTAGTTGGAAAATATTGTCTAGGTGATAGGAACACTGCTGGAGATCACATGATAGACTTTTTCAAGATCAATGACTTACTTCCATCACTTATCTGTCTGTGGTAGCTAGCATGTTGCTGTGATTCTGGAGTCTGTATTATGGGTATTTTCAATTCCAGCAGAATCACCCATGATGGACAAGTTGCAGCTGAGCTTCTAGACTCAGCCGACTAAGAAGAAAGAGAGGCAGACAAGTGAATGGAAAGCCAATGAAAACTTTATGAATAGCAGTGGAACATTGTCAGATATAGTGCAAGAACAGGAAAACTTCATGAATAGCAGCAAAACAGTGTCCCATATAGTTCTGGAAGACGACACCCTCAGGTTGGAAGGCACTCCAAATACAACTGAAGAAAAGTTGTCTCCTCACAGTAAACTTGATCATAATGATGTGAATAGAGTAAAGCTTTGGGGGCCTTCATTTACTGATGGGGCAAAACTCAAAATGAGGAGAAACAATGGCAAACATCCACTGACAATTGGAATGTGGAATGTATGAAGTATGAATTTAGGAAAATTGGAAGTTGTTTTAAAAATGAAATGGAAGGCATAAAGATCAATAAAGGCATTAGTGAACTGAAAGGGACCGATACTGAACAATCTGAATTGAACAAATATATGGTTTACTATGGGTTAATGCGCCAGACTGTAAAGTTATTTGAACAGCAAAGTTGGCAGTTCAAGCTCACCAACTGCTCCTTGGAAACCCTATATAGGGTCACCATGGGTCGGAATTGACTCAACGGCACTTAACAACGACATGCTAGGGACATCAAATTAACAAGGAATTGTGTCTCAACATCATACAGAATATTTCCAGAAATATCTTGAATTACAATCCTGTTTTTGATAGGACATAGAAATCTTTAAGCAAACTGATACAGCACTGGAGGCACTTTCTCATTTGTGCCAAAAAAATTTGGAAGTCAGCTACCCGGTCAACTGATTGGAAGAGATCCATATTTGTGCCCATTCCAAAGAGAGGTGACACAATGAATTGTGGAAATCATTGGACAATATCATTATCACATGTGGGTAAAATTTTGCTGAAGATAATTTAAAAATGGTTACCAGAGTACACTGACAGGGAACTGCCGGAGGTTCAAGCTGGATTCAGACCATGACACAGAAAGAAAGACATCTTTGCTGATGTCAGATGGATCATGGCTGAAAGCAGAGACCACCAGAAAGATGTTTACTTGTGCTTTGGTGACTATGCAAAGACTTTTGATTGTGTGGCTCATGACAAGTTACAGGTAACAATGCAAAGAATGGGTATTCCAGAACACGTAATCGTGCTCAGGAGGAATCTGTACATAGACCAAGAGCAGCCATTTAAACAAAACAACAGGACACTGAATGGTTTAAAATTAGGAAAGTTGTGCTTCAGGGTTGTATTTTTTCACCATAGTTACTCAGTCTATATCTTGAGCAAAGAACAAGGCATCAGGATTGGAGGAAGACTCATTAACAACTTGCGACATGCAGATGATACAACCTTGCTTGCTGGAAGTCAAGAAGACTTGAGGTACTTATTGATGAAGATCAAAGACTACACCCTAAGTATGGATTGTACCTCAATGTAAAGAAAACACAAATCCTCACAAGTGGATGGGTAAGTAGCATCATGATAACTGAAGTTGTCAAAGGCCTTCTTTTGCTTGTATTCACTATCAATGAGCATGGGAGCAGCAGTCAAGAATTCAAATGATACTGCATTAGGCAAATCTCCAACAACAGACCTTTCTTGACTATTAGAGATCAAAGCTGTCACTTTGAGAACTAAAACGTACTTAACTCAAATCAGGGTATTTTCCATTTCCCCATATGCATGTGAAACTGGGGCAATGAATAAGGAAGATGGAAGAAGATTTGATGCATTTAAATTCCATAATTTACATAATTGACAACAGTTGGTTACTGTTTTGGTTTCAGAGTCCTTACAAAGCTCTGTGATGGTCTCTATGGGTTCATAGGTGAATGAGTTAATGTGGATTGATCTGTTTCCCTCATAATATATGCTATG